TCCCCCTAGAGGAACCCCCTGGTGCCTCACCTGCTGCCAGAGACCCTAGCATCCACCCCACACACCCCCAAGGCACCCCCTGGTGACCACCACCCCCCTCCCCCCAAGGGACCCTGGCATCTGGCACCTTGATGGTCTTGGTCTGCAGCTTGAGGCCGTTGAGGGTGCTGATGGCCTTGTCGGCGTCACCTGCCTCAACGTAGTTGACGAAGCCGTAGCCCAAGCTCTGCCCTGGGGCACAGGGTCAGCACTGAGGGTGGCCCCAGAACCAGGCCCTGTCGTGCCATTACAGGTCCCTTGTCCCCACCCCACCCCTGTCCCCAAGGCCCATTTCCATCCCATCTTCATCTCTGTCCCTGTGGGGCCCCATGCTCATGTCCCCCCACGTCCCTCTACCAAGGAGCCCGCGGTCAAGCTTGCAGGACCCGACATCCCCAGAGAGGTTCCTGAAGTTGTCCATGTCCCCATGATCCCAACCACATGCCCATCCCTGTCCCTGTCCCAGTCCTGGTCCCCATGCACCATGTCCCTGTTTCCCATGTCCAGTCTCCCCATGCCCTACATCTCCATGTCCCATCTGCCCACGTTCGTCCCATCTCCCGGTGTCGCATCTCCCCATGTCACATATCCTTGTGTTCTATCTCCCCATGTCAGTCTCCCCATGTCCCAACTCCCCATCTCCCCATGTCCTTGTGTCCCATCTACGCCTGTCCCATCTCCCTGTGTCCTGTCTCCCCACATCCCCATGTCCCATCTGCCCAGTACCATACCGGTGACCTTGTCACGGACAAGCTTGCAGGACTCGATGTCCCCGAGGCTGCCAAAGAGGCTCCGCAGCTCCTCCTGGCTCATGCTCTGGGGCAGGTAGTTGACGATCAGGTTGGTTTTGCTGTCGTCAGCTACGGGGGGGCCCGGGGGCCCCCCATTGGGCAGAGCTGCCGCCACCCCCGGCCCTGGCACCGCCACCACCGGCACAGCCACAGGGACGGGGACAGGGCCACAGCCTGATGGCCCCGGGGTGCTGGGAGCCTGGGCCTCCACCGTGCTCAGGATCTGCTGAGGGGACGGATGGGTGTCACCAGGGTGTCTCCAACATGGGGACAGCGGAGGGACAGGGACACCAGGGTCGTGGGGACAGCACAGGGACAGGCATGGGTAACCCCAGGCAGCAGGGTTCATGGAGTCATCATGGAGGTGAAGGCCTCCATGGGAAGACAAGGGGCTGGGGACGCTGGGAGGGGGCTACAGGGACAACTCGGGTGGGGACATGGGGGCAGTGGGTCCCCTGGGGCCCCACAGGCTGGCCCCCCTCCCCCGCCGCCG